CTCTCTCTCTCTCTCTCTCTCTCTCTCTCTCTCTCTCTCTCTCTCTCCCCCCCTCTCTCTCTCCCCTTTTAATTTTTTCTTTGACGGGGGCCAGGGAGCACATCCAGCAGTACCCAGGGCTGCCTCCTCTCTCTGCGCTCTGGTGATGCTCCACAGGCCATCGGGATGCCAGGGATGGAAGCTGGGTCAGCCTCGTGCAAGGCAAGCGCCCTATGTCGGGTACCATCGCTCCACACCCCGAAGCCTTCTTCTGTCTTCTGCCTTTTGCACATGTTTTCAGCTTTTAAGCTCTTGCTTTTTCATTTGGGGGCAAGTACAGAGAGAGGAGGGTCAGCAATCACCAGTGGCACGTGTCATTTCCAGCACGGAGGTGGTGGTACTTTTATTTAAAGAAAACTTTAGGTCATTGAATACACTGGTGGAGGGAAGCCAACACTCATGATGGGATTGATGTTGAAATATTACATGCCCAAAACTCAGCTACCAACTTTGTAAGTCACTGTTCTTTTTGTGAAAAATGAGGAAAACTAAGGAAACATTTTTTGGGTCATTTTTAGTGAATTATTTATAACAAGAAATACAAAATAACTTATTTAGTAGGTGCCTTGGAGGCAAGTTTCATTGGTGGTGGGAAAATTCGATATAATAGTAGTGGAATGGTATAATGGTGTCGGGATTGGTATTGAAACATTGAATGTAATAACTAAAATTGTCAACAACTTTAAAAAAATAAAATTAAATTAAGAATGAGGAAAAGAACAGAAAGTAAAAAAAAAAAAAACAAAATAAAGAAAACATTATTTTAAACCTGTAATACCCAGGTTTTTCTCGCATTCACTTCAAAAGGCAGGCACCTCTCCCACCCTTTTTTTTTTTAGTTTGTTGGACCTCACCTGGAAGTGCTCAGGGATAACTCCTGGTGGGACCCAAAGATTGTATATGGTGCAGGAGACCAAGGCAAGCATTATATCCACTGTACTATTACCCGGGTCCAAGAAGCCTCCCTATTTTGACCCAGATCCTTTAAGTTCACTATCTCTTTTGAAAATTGATGTCTAGTTGACAAATAGGGATTTTCTATATGTAACTTGATTTTTTTGATGCATGTGTTCATTGTGAAACACTCAGTAAAATCTAGCTAATTACTATGTCCATCATGCCACACACATTTCCCCCCTACCTCCCAGTTCTGACAACCAGCATTCTATCTGCTCTACTATTTTGGTTGTTTTGTATTCCCAAAGTGAGATCCTATATGAGCTGTCTCACTGTCTCTGGCGTATTTCTGGCAGACTGCTTTTTCATTCCGTTGTCTGTTGCTGTTTTGTCAGTACTTTAAAAAAAGATCATACATACCTTATAGTAGTTTGGTATTTTATTGTATTCTGGGACCATACCAGCAGAGTTTTGGAGTTACTCCTGGCAGTCGTTGAGTGAATATGTGGTGTTGAGAATTGAACTTGAGTTTCCTCTCTAGCCCCGCCTTTTACATTTAAAAATAGAAAAGCTACTTATGTCATATTGTAGATGTTCTACACTACCTACTTTTGCTCATTATTATAGCTTTATCTGCTGTCTCTGTGACACTGAGTTTCTTTCCTTTAAGCCCGGTGATCTTTTTTTTTAATTTGTTATTTATTTATTTATTTATTTATTTTTTATTAGTGAGACACCATGAGGTACAGTTGTAGACTTACAAATTTTGTGCTTGGGTTTCAATTATACAGTGATCAAATACCCATCCCTCCCCCAGTGCCCATTTCCCACCACCACGGATCCCAGTATCTCTCCCACCCCCCATCCCACCCTGCCTCTGTGGCAGGGCATTCCCCTCTGTTCTCTCTCTCCTTTTGGGTATTGTGGTTTGCAAAAGAGGCATTGAATGGCAATCATGTTTGGTCTATAGTCTACTATCAGCATGCTTCTCCCATCCTGGGAGGATCCTCCCAACACCCTTTATTTGGTGCTCCCTTCTAAGCCTGGTGATCTTACCTGTTCATAATGATGGTTACTGAGGTGGTTTCTACTTTTTTCTTACACATAAATTTTATCGCAGCATTCTTTCATGCCTTGTGTTCATTAGAAAGAACATTGTAGAATTAGGCTTCTTGAGCTGTGATGAAGCTTTTGCATTCAAAGAAATGTGAGGTGAATTTTCAGAATGATTGTACCGGTTTAGTTTTACAAGTCTCTGACTATCTCTGTGTTTTCTATGTTCTCAGCATTTGATATTAGAAAGCATTTTATTTTCCCCTAATCTATGGATAGGATAATATGTTTGTTGAGGGGCAATATCTGGAAGTGCCCAAGGCTTACTTCTTTTCAGGGATCACTTTTGGCAGTGCTCAGGGTACCATATGGATCTCTTCTGTTATTTTCTTTTTTGTGCTAATATCTCACTTTTATTACAATAATCTCATAGTAGTCTTGCTATCTGGTGGACATGTCTGTCTCCTTTAGTTCATCTTTGTATCACCTCTATTAATTTTGAATCATTATAAAACTTATTTAGAGTCTTGTTGATCAGATTTCAAATGTACTATTTGCATTTTTATTATAATTGCAGAATTAGTGGTTTAATTTGTCAAGAATTGAGATTATTATGATGAGTTCTTCTGTTTTTTTTTTACTTTTTGGGTCACACCCAGTGATGCTCAGGGGTACTCCTGGCTCATGCACTCAGGAATTGCTCCTGGCGGTGCTCGGGGGACCATATGGGATGCTGGGAATCGAACCTGTGTTGGCCATGTTGGCTGTGTGCAAGGCAAACGCCCTACCCGCTGGGCTATCTCTCCAGCACCGAGTTCTTCTATTTATGAACATTCTTTCTCCATCCTTTTCAGTTTCCTTTAAGGTTTCACCATTTTATTCATAAAATAATTATATATTTATTTTGTTATTTTTTCAGTGCTATATAATTTTTTGTAACTGGTGTGAATTCCAGTTTTTGATTTATTGCCAGGAAGTAGAAATGATATTAACTACTATGTATTGACCATAAACAGGCAATTCTGTTTGATTATTTTTCACCCCAATAGAAATCTTAGATTTTTTTATGCAGATGATATAATAATTCTCACATATGTTAATTTCATTCATTTATTTCCAATCCTGTGAAGTACTTTCCTTTTTCTTGTTTTACTACTGCAAATGAGGGAGTATATCTGTCTTGTCATTCACTCTAATATGAATTTATCTAGTGTGATATCATAGTAGCATTTTGAAAAAAAATTTGGGTAACTGAGACCTGAGGGTCTTGGACCACATTCTGAGAACCTCTGAATGTGGTTGTATGGTGTTCAAATTGATATGTCCTTTTTTCTTCTCAATAGTTTATCCTTTGTTTAAATATCTGTAAATTTGGACTTGCAGATAATTATGTCATTTATTATTTTAAGATCATTGCTAAGATTATATATTTAAATTGCTTTTTTCATCTTCTTCCTTTGGATTACTTATTCTATATTTGATTTTTTTCTTAAATTATGAGATCATCTATTTCAGTCTCTTGTGTTAAAATAAACATAGTAAGGCTGAACTTTTGGTGGGAGGAGTGATTAGGTAGTCTACACTTCCACCATAGTTTCTGATTCTGTGTTTTCTTGAGAAAAAAGATGCTTTTACATTTATAGTATAATAGTATTATTAGAGAGTATTCTGTCAATTGATAACCAGATTTTGGAGTTTATTAAACATTTCATTGTTGCCAGATATATAGTATTTTAGAAGTATTCATCACACATCTTGAAAAGTTGCATTCTTTTTTTTTTTTTTTTTTTTTTTTATTTTTTTTATTTTTTTTTCCCCTTTATTTTATTTTATTTTTTTTAAAGTTGTAGATTTACAATTTTTTGTGCTTTGGTTTCAATTATACAATGATCAGATACCCATCCCTCCACCAGTGCCCATTTTCCACCACCATGGATAATATCCCTCCCACCCCCATCCCCCCATCCCCCCATCTCTGTGGCAGGGCAATCCCCTGTGTTCTCTCTCTCCTTTTGGGTGTTGTGGTCTGCAAAAGAGGCATTGAGTGGCAAACATGTTCAGTCCATAGTCTACTTTCGACATGCATCTCCCCTCCTGGGAGGATCCTCCAAACATCCTTTATTTGGTGCTCCCTTCTCTATCTGAATAGCCCTTTCCTCTAGGATACCCGGCTGGCCTCTAAGTTATGGAGTAATCCTCCTGGTGCTGATCTCAGCTATTCTTGGGTATTAATCTCATACTTTGTTACTTTATATCCCCCAGATGAATGCAATCTTTCTATGTCTATCCCTCTCTTTCTGACTCATTTCGCTTAGCATGATACTTTCCATATTGTACCACTTGTATGTAAATTTCATGACTTCATGAAAAGTTGCATTCTTATGTTGGAAGTATTTGCTACTTGATATACTCACTTCTGAGGGAAATATATTAAAACTTTTATTCAAGAGGAGGATTTTCTAGTTTCTCTTTGAAAATTTATTTAACTTTGTCTTTCTACATTTGAGGTTTGTCTTAAATATAAACTTGTCATTACAAAAAAAGAGTATATTTTCACTTTTCATAATGTGCATTATACATTCTTGTTCCTATTAAGGATTTTGGTTTTCAATTCTATGTTGATTGGTATAAATATTGCTAAATACTGCATTCAACAATGTACATGAAGCACTCATACGTCACGCAGTGAAGAAGAACCCAACAGAGAAAAGCATCTACATCACAGCTCTTCTGATAAAGTTACCCGGAGGTGCTGCTAGTCTGGGAGTGGAAATTAGTATGAAGGCTCACCGTTGGCAGGTGAGAATGGAAGTAATGAACACAGGGATAAGAGGGCTGGTCTAGATATTGATTCTGTGCTTGTGACTCTTTCTGACTCTCCCTTGCACTATTGGTTCAGGATTTATCAACTCTTCTGTGTTAGTGTTATCCTTCCATAAATGCTTTAAAGATACAGAAAAGATGTACAATTATGGCAGCTTTACTTTAACTGGTGTCCTATCTAACTTTCTATGTTATTTAGGTTCCATATATATATTTTGTGGATCTAATTGGAGAATCTTATGCAGCTAGCAGGTGAGTTTAGTTCTTTTATTTCTTACAATTATTCATCTACTAGTCTTCCTTTTACTTGTTTCATGTTTTTGCATTTTGTATTTTGCTTTATATTAAATTTTTTATGACTTACATTTCTTCCTCAGCTTTATACATGTTGTCTTTTGTCTTTATTATTGCAAATAAGTCACCTCTGACCTTTTTGTTATGAGACAAATTAAAGTTCAAGGGATCCAGGGGAGAGTGGATGGGAACTGTGTGGCAGGGCTGTGGCTGGACAGGCAGTCCTAGGTATGAAGCAGAGTGCCTGGAAGGCCAGCTCAGTCTTTAAACAGGGTAGTCTTGGGTTATGATCTTCTAGACAGGGGCAATTTTGGCCCTCTATGTGTGTCTCTTTCTTTCCTCAGCACCTGACAGGCTTCTCCTGTCTTTCACCTGTGAGAATCTCAGGGCACCTGTAAATGGCGGCTTTGTACCTGTCTGCACTGCCCCAGGTAAGTATAAGTCCTCTCTGGCAGGTATGAAGTCTTCCTCAGGGCTTCCTTGCCTGCACTACTTCAGTAAATACTGTTAGAAATCTCTGTTCTGAGGTGTTTACAGCAGAGAAATGATAGGACTTCCCAGTTTTCCCATGTTGGCTGATTCAGTGATGGATGTGTTATACCACCCACCTTGTTATGCTGGAGCAGAGGGTAGTCAAGATGACAGGAATCCTGTTATGCTAGCCATAGCATGCTTCCTCCTCTGCCCCTATTCTCCTGACCCTCCCGAGTACTACCTGGGTCTTCAGTAGGAATTTGTCATTCCAGGCTGAGGTGACCTTTGAGGATGTGGCCGTGCTTCTCTCTCGGGAAGAGTGGAGCCATCTGAGCCCTCATGATAGGGGCCTCTACAGGGATGTGATGCTGGAAACTTACGGAAATCTCATCTCCCTGGGTAAGGCTCTTTTTGTTGATGTAGCTCAATAAACACTCCTAGGGATTGAAGGGCCTATTTAGCCACTGACTCAGAGTCTTATCTGCTGGGCCAAGAAATATGTGTCACCGACTCTGGTCCTAAGTTGGCTTAGTCTGTGTAGAGGAGGAGTCAGGTAAGACTGGGTCATCCCTTTCCCCCTCAGCTTCAAGTTAACATTCCCTCTTTGCCACAGGTCTGAATCGTAGACCTACCCAGGGGAGATTAAGTATCTTATAATAGAGAAAACTATCTGCTCTCTTGTTTCCTATTCTCAGGTCTTTATCACTACCCCCAACTCTACTGAGAGTATCTAGACTTCCTGTGCCTGCATTTCCTCTTTTCCCTCTGCAGTCCCAGGGTGAGAATGCTCTGCATCCTTGGCACTAACCCCAGGACCCGTCTCCCTCCCAGGAGCTGTATCTGCAGGTCCCAAACCCAGGGTGATTGCACAGCTGGAAAAAGGAGATGAACCATGGGTCCTGGATATTCAGGGTGCCAAGGGGAGAGAGCAGTTGAGAATCCATGGCTCAGGTATGTGAGCGGGTTAGCATTCCTAAATCATTCACTGAGATATTATGTGCTGGGATTTAGGTATTTAGTCAGTGACTCAGGAGTTTGGAGAAAGATGCTGCAGGATCAGTAATGAATGCTGAAAATGGTCTATGATGAAATCCATATCGCCTCTTTCATCCAGTGCCTTGGTTGGATAGTTTTTTGTTTTTTTTTTCTTTTGGGGTCACACCCAGCGATGCTCAGGGGTTACTCCTGGCTCATGTACTCAGGAATTACTCCTGGCGGTGCTCGGGGGACCATATGGGATGCTGGGAATTGAACCTGTGTTGGCCATGTTGGCTGCATGCAAGGCAAACACCCTACCCGCTGTGCTATCGCTCCAGCCCCTGGTTGGGTAGTTTTTGAGCTGAATCTTTTGTAAGGGTGAGAAAGGGATGTGCAGGTGGATGAGAAGAGGAAAGGATATGCTGAGATGAGGCTGGTCCCATGGAACCATGAGTCCTGCCCTCTGAAGCACATATGTCCCTTGTAGGAAAGAGCTAGAGGTACATAATAGAAACTATCAGTTGATTCCTGTCCTCTAAATTAATCTAGTGGTGACTATAGGACATTACTGGAAAATGAGAACATATAAATAATCCCAAATTTTGCCATTTAGATATAAATATGTTCTAGTATGTAAGTCACCCTTTTCTACTGCTGTTACACAGCCTCCAATGATTATTGCTTCTTAGTTGGTGTGCACTGAATTCATATGCAGTCCTATATTACATCTTTTTCACTAAGTGAATTTCCATATCTTCCAGCTTGTCCCTTGTTGGGCCTTGGGGATTTGTTCCAAGGCCTACTTCCTTTTGATTCCAAAATCTGAAGATATCAAGCTTCTTTTATAAAATGGTGTATGTAGTATTTGTGTGTATAACCTACACAAATTTTCCATATACTTTAATGTTTCTCTAGATTGCTTATAATATCTAATACTATGTAAATAGTTATTATAATATATTTTAGAGAATAATGAGAAAACTATAAGTCTCTACCTGTAAAGTGCAGGCATAAGCATTGTAGACATAACTATATAGACTGTATTTTTGATTCTTAGTTGATTAACAACTTGCAGAATTCTGAATAGGACTCAGTACATAATGCATGAGTCTTAGTTGCTACTGTCAGTGGAAGTGCCAATGGGAAAGATTTTCTCTAGTTTCATTGCCATGGACAATACAGATGAGCATCTTTGTGTGTGTGCATGTTTGTGTGTGTGTGTGTGTGTGTGTGTGTGTTTAACATGTCTTGGGAAGGAACTACTGACTTGAGGGAGGTTATTTTTTCTCTCTCAAGTTGATTATTTGACTATAAATATAGAAATGAGAGAAACTCTTAAGTTTACAACTCAAGTGAAATAAAATATTCTCTAGATCAAAGAACACAAATTTTATTCTGAGCCTCCTCCATCATTTCCCACTGCTCCCCACTGAACCCTTCTCTTTGATTTCTGGAGACTGTTCTGCCCTTTGGCTCCAAGAAAAACATCTAAACATTATGAGAATTGCCATGTTGTATGAATACATTATGTTTTATTGCCTTACAGTGCTTTATGATATGAACATAAAACAAGTTATTTCCTTCCTAATTGTGGAGGACATTTGGTTGTCCCTAGTTTGGGGTTGTTGCATACGTGCTTCTCTTGGCTCATAGAGAATGCATTTGTGAAGGATGTATATATGTAAGTGGAGTTTATGTGTAATATTAGGAGAGAAGGCATGTGAAGTTAAAAGATTTTGGTAGTTTACCTGAGCTCTCACTCAGACTCTTGGAAAAAGTCCATGGGAAGGCTGTGACCGGCTCTGGAGAATAGATAGTCACAGATCTCTGGTGCTTCTTGCTTTTCAACCTCAGTTGCCATGAACTTGACTCTTTGCCCTTCTGAGGAGATGGCTGTTTTTTCCTGCTGTGCATTTTGCAGTAGAATGGCTATTGCTAAGAGGCCTTCAATTTGCTTGACTTTAATTTCTTTGACTTTAAGTGTCTTTCATGTTTGTTGTAGCCCTTTTTTGATTTTGATTTGATTTGGAGGTTTGATTACAAAAACTCTATCTTCTTGTAATGAAGAAGAAACTTCATATCTTTGTAATGAAGATAGGCATTTTGTAATACCACTTAAACAGTTTTTAGGCCAAAGGCTGGCAGAAAGTACATGGTTCTTTGAATCTGGGCTCACGTACTTGTGAGCCTGGGAAAGGTTCCTAAGTTCCTGGTTCTCATCTTTGCAATGCTATTATCACTTTGGAGATGATTGAGTTATTTATCTATAGGTGGTCTGTAACATCTTCTTACCTTCCTTTCAGAGTCAGAAAAGGTGACCATGAGATTTTCTGTTTGTTGTTTCAGCTCATGGAACAAGGAATGAGTACAAGGTGTTGACTTCAGGGAAAATACTTGGTGGGGAAGAACTGGACCCACTCAGGGAAACTGTTTCTTTGAGATTTGAACAAGAAGAAGCTCATGAGCTCGTCAGGGAACCAGAGAAGAACACAGACAAGCTAGGAGAGCAGAGAAAACCCAGGCCCATAACAATGACAAAGGATGAGGAGTCTGGGGAAAGTCTTATGTTGGGCTCAAGTCTTATTCTTGATCAGAGACCTCACAAATGTGATATATGTGAGCAAAGTTTTGAACAAAGATCATACCTCAATAATCATAAACGTGTACACAGGTCAAAAAAACTAAGTATAATTAATGATTCTGGGGAAATTGTCAGTACTAATTTAATTGTTCAAGAAGAACTTAAAATCCCTTTTGGGAAAAAGTTGCATTATTGTGAGTACTGTGGGAAAGCCTTTAGGTATAGTGCTAACCTTGCCAAACACCAGCGGCTTCACAGTGAAGAGAAGCCCTACAAGTGTGATGAGTGTGGGAAAGCCTTCAGCCAGAGCTGTGAGTTCATAAATCACCGAAGGATGCACTCTGGTGAGATCCCCTACCGCTGTGAAGAGTGTGGGAAAACATTCAATCGAAGACCCAACCTCATGAAACATCAGAGAATTCACACAGGAGAGAAGCCCTACAAGTGTGGTGAGTGTGGGAAGCACTTTAGTGCCTACTCTTCTCTCATCTATCATCAGAGAATCCACACTGGAGAGAAGCCCTATAAGTGCAGTGACTGTGGGAAAGCCTTCAGTGACAGCTCCATCCTTATCCGACATCGTCGGACTCACACCGGAGAGAAGCCATTTGAGTGTAAAGAATGTGGCAAAGGCTTTACCCAAAGTTCTAACCTTATTCAACATCAAAGAATCCACACTGGAGAGAAACCCTATAAATGTAATGAGTGTGAGAAAGCCTTTATCCAGAAAACAAAACTTGTCGAACATCAGAGGAGCCACACTGGAGAAAAGCCCTATGAATGTAACGACTGTGGCAAGGTCTTTAGTCAGAGTACTCACCTCATTCAGCACCAGAGGATCCACACAGGAGAAAAGCCCTATAAGTGCAGTGAGTGTGGGAAGGCCTTTCATAACAGCTCCAGACTCATCCACCATCAGAGGTCACACCATGGAGAGAAACCATACAAATGCAGTGATTGTAAGAAAGCCTTTAGTCAGGGCACTTACCTCATCCAGCACCAGAGGATTCACACTGGGGAGAAGCCCTATAAATGCAGTGAATGTGGAAAGGCCTTCCGGCACAGTTCTAATGTATTTCAGCATCAAAGGATTCACCTTCGGGAAGATTTCACCATGTGATAGGGTAGGAGGGTCTATAAGTCCTACTGTGTACCTCTTCCATGTGACCAAACCTTCCAATTTATTTATTGTCCACACATTGGTGTCACAAGGTGACTATTTATTTATATATTTATTATTTATTCAGATTTTAATTGAATTACAGTGAGATACACATTTACAAATTTGTTCATGATTGTGTTTCGGTCATGCTATGTTTCAATACCTGTTCCTTCGTCAGTGTTACATTTCCCACCACCAATCTCCCCAGTTTTCCTCCTGTCCCCCACCAGCCTTTATTCTCTCTCTCTTTCTCTTTCTCTCTATCTCTCTCTCCCTCTCTCTCTCTCTCCCTCTCATCTAATTAAAAAAATCTTTTTTTTCTTAAACCCAAAGCATAGTTTGTTTACTTTAGAGAAGGTGAGAAAGGTGAACAACAAGAAGTTCTTACAATCTTCCCCTTAGAAAAATATTATTAATTACTACTTATTCCCTTTCAGACACAGAAAATACTGAAGCCAGAACAATAGTATGTGGGTAGGTTGCTTAGTTCACCAACTTGTGTTCCTAGACATCCCATATAGTACCCTGGACACTGCCAAGAGTGATTCCTGAGTGCTGAGCCAGGCGTAACCTCTGAACACCCCTAAGTATGGCCCCAAAACAAAACAAAGATAAATTAAAAAATAAAATGAAATATAAATAAATTGAAAAATACTGTCAGGTTAACGATTGCAACATCACAGAGTTTTACATTTGTCATTTCTTCACTATCAGAAAATTTACTCTGGAGAGAATTCTACATACTTATTGCATGTAAATTTTTAGAAGTGAACATATTATTTATACTTTTCAGTGCCAGTTAATAGAAATAATCGTCTGTAATACCAAATTAAAATGTCCATAATAAAATTTACTATTTTAACTATACAATTCAGTGGCATTCAGTAAATTCACAATGTTGTGCTGTCAACAACCACTATCTCTTTCTGGAACTGTTTTATTATCCCAAACATGATACTTGTGATCATTAGACAATAACTCTCCATTCTTCCCTTCTCACAGATTCTGGCAACATCTATTCTAATGTCTGTCTCTGTAAATTTACCTATTCTAGGTACTTCATATAAGTGAAATAATACAAAAACTTTATGTATTTATCCTTTATGCCTGGCTTATTTTACTCAGCAAAATGTTATTTGCAAGATACACCTGTGTTGTGACCTGTTATCAGAATGTCATTCTTTTTAAGGTTGAGTGATAATCCAGAGATGACATATGATAGTCCAGATTTTACAGAGATGCCATATTCATTTACTTATAAACACTTTGCGTGTTCCTATCTTTTCACCAGTATGCATAATTATTCTATGAACATTGGTGTACAAGATCTGTTCTTTCAATACTTTTGGGTAAATAAGAATATGTTTACCAAATCATATAGTTATTCTGTGTTACCTATGAGTTGTGACCAAATTTTTCCACAATATATATATTTTACTGATACTTTCTATTAATGGGAGCATTCTAGACATCAAGGCTTATTAAAAATACTTGGTATTTGCTGTTGCTTAGTTTTTTAAAAGAAATAATAGCCATACTAATGAACATGAAATGGTATATATCCTTGTATTTTTGGTTTGCTATTCCCTTTTGTTTTTGTTTAGTTGAGAGGTGCTCTATGTATTAGAGTTAGCATTTTCTCATCCTGTGCCTTGTCTTTCCAGTCTCCTGACAGTTGCATTTGATGAACAGCAGTTTAAACTTCTTAGAAAGTTCAGTATATCTTTTGTTGCATTTTCTTTGGATATCACATCCAAGAAAACATTGCTAAGTCCAAATAATAAAGATTTTCTCTTGTGTTTTCTACTAAGAATTCATAGTTTTAGGACTTAGAGTTTGTTGTTAGGTTAATTTTGAAGTAATTTTTTAAATATAATGTAAGTGTTCATATTTTTTCACTTATGAATGTCCAGTTTTCACAGTAACTTTTAATGAAAAAAATTGCTTTCCCATTCAACGATGTATTGATGTATTATGTTTCTTAGACTATCATAATGAAATTTCTTAGATGAGTGGCTTAAAAATTGAATCTTATCCTCAAAATTCTGGAGATTGGGAAATCCCAGATCAAGGTGTTAGCTGATTTACTGATTTACTTCCTGGTTAAGTATCACTTTATATATATATATACATATATATATATATGAGTACTGCTATTTATTCAGCCACTGATTAAAGCAGGCATGAATTCCACATTACTTTTTTTTCAATTTTTAAAAAATATTTTAATTTTTCATAAAGTTGTTCACATAATTGATTACATTCAATATTTCAACACTAATCCCATCACCGTTGCACCTTCCCACCACCATTACTTTGAATCTTGCCACCACCATCCCAGCCTGCCTGTTAGGCAGATGCAAATAGTTTATTTTATATTGCTTGCCATGAACAGTATGAGGTGTTACAGTGGCCTTGTGCTTCTGGAATTCTGAAATTTTTAAATATTTGGAGTGGGTCTGGAGGCATCTCTGTGGTGTGCTGCTTTTTTCCGAGATTCATTTGTGAGTCTCTGAATCACAGCCATTAAAGCACTTAAACGGCACCTAGAGGCAGTTCTTGGGCATGACTGGCAGGAAACTGGAGGGAGGTGCAGGGGATGGGGATGGGGGAGGTCATCCATCCTGGGTTTTTCAGTGGGTACTTTCTCATGCGAGGGGGGTTCAGGACAAGCCTGTGAAGGTCAGCCTTGAAGAATCTGATAGTGATTGTGTTCTGGAACTTTACAGCTGCTGGGTTTCATTTAGGGCAGTCAGAGGGACACAACTGACCCCCTGTGAGGTGCCCGATGAAATCAGCCTGGTGCTGGATAGGGAGACATCTCTGCGGTGTGCTGCTCTCCTCCGAGATTCATTTGCGAGTCTCTGAATTCTGGCCATTAATGTGCTTAAATGCCCTGCTTTTGATCTCTTTGGAGATTCATTTATAGGCTGAAGCAAGGCTGATAAATGCTTGTATAGCTGAACTGGAGGTGATTTGTGGGCATAACTCCCACATACCTAACTTTTGGCCGTTTAATTTCTGGGGAAACTTGGTCCCAAGTTGTTGGGGTCTGGCCAGAGCCACAGTGGCAATGTTGGGGTATCAGGAAACCTGAAGGCACCATCAGGCTGCTGATGTACTCACCCTGCAGGTACAGATTGACCTGCTGGGGGGCACTGTACCCCCTAGGGATCACTTCTTAACCTGAATGTAGCCTATTCACTGTGTCCTCATGTGGGAAAGACAGATGTCAGCTGGATCTCTTCTCGGAGCTGACACTATCTTTAGGGGCTTGTGTTTAGTGAGTGTTCGCATTTATTCTGTCATCTATCCTTGTCATTCTGGAGGGTTTGATTTGGGATGACATCCTGTGTTGCACCAGTTGTACTCTTGGCTGTGCATTACTCCTGGTGGTGTTCAGGAGACCATGTGGGATGCTGAGATCAATCCTGGGTCAGCCACCATGCGAAGGATCACCCTGCCCACTGAACTATCTCTTCCGACCTTGTCATTTTAATAAACAGCATTTACATGCTATACATATCTTTTTAGTTTATATTTTTCCATTGAAAAAGGAATCAGATTTCCACTAGTATTTCTTTTGCTGGGCTGGAGCAATATCACAGTGGTAAGGCATTTTCCTTGTACGCGGCTGACATGGCCAATCAAAGTTCGATTCCTCTGCTCCACTCCGAGAGCCGAGCAAGCTATGTGTTGTATTCGATATGCAAAAAACTTGATCACTTGATCACTTGATCACTTGACTCATCCCGTTACTCATCGATTTGCTTGAGCGGGCACCAGTAACATCTTCATTTGTCCCTGTAGTATACTAGTGTAGCCCAATGGCGTCTGCTCATTCTAGGAACATGAAGAACCTCAAGCCAATCGTTCAGGGTCTGGATGAAGAAGTCTGACCATGTCATAGGTGGGCGGCCACACAATCTTTTGACATCCTGTGGAATCCAGTCAGTAATGGCTCTAGTCCAGTGGTCATCTCCAAATCACATTACGTGTCCAGCCCATCTGATTTTCTACGCCTTGGCAAACGAGACAGCGTCCCTGATTCTTGATCATCAATGGTGGTCGGAACTCCAGATTCCGTCTCTCATTTGAGTGAAGTATGATACTCCAAGCATAGCTATTTTGATTCCTCTTTGGAAGACCCGAATAGCATACTCATTCTGTTTTCATAGGGCCCAGGTCTCTGAGGTGTGTGCTAATGCAGGAAGAAAGTGGAATTGAAGGGTTGTGCCCAGAGCAGGAGGTTCTTCATCCTCTGAGCTATTTCTTCGATGATCTTGAAGGTGTTCCAAGCTGCTCTCTTCCTCCTGCTCAACTCAGGTGCCAGGTTATTCGTCATGTTGACTTCTTGACCTAGGTACACATAACTGTTGCATTCAGAGATGTTTGTTCCATTTAGAGAGAATGGAACGTAAGGAATGAAACTGTTTCTCATTTACATTGTCTTCGTGAGATTCAGCTGCAGTCTGACCTTTCCACACTCATGGTCAAAGTCGGCCAGCATTTGTGTGGCTTGGCTAATGTTTGGTGTTCTTAGAACGATGTCTTCAGTGAAGCAGAGGTGGTGTAGTTGCCAATCATCTATCTTCACTCCCATTCCTTCCCATTCCACTTGTCACATGACATTCTCGAGGGTGGCACTGAAGAGTTTTGGTGAAATGGTATCACCCTGCTGAATCCCTCTCTTGACATGGAATGTCACTTCCTTGTAGAATGGTGAGATCCTGATAGTGAATCTGTAATACAGCTCACAGAGGATCCTGATTATTGAGTATGAATGCCCTTTTTGGCTAAGGCTTTGATGACCGTTTCAGTCTCAACAGAATCAAAGGCCTTCTAAAATCAATGAACATTAGACAGAGCGGCATCTTGAACTCCTGAGACACCTCAATGATCTTGGTTATCATGTGGATATGGTTGATCTGCTGAATCATTTTTGGAACCTGTCTTGCTCTCATGGTTTTCCTTCATCTAGTGTTTTGCCATTCCTATTCAGGATGCCTCGAGTGAATAGCTTGTA